TAATAAGCCCGAGGAAGAATAGTAGTGTGCTTTGCAGGCACACTAATAATGGGTGGAAAGATGGGATGCCCATTCTTCCTATTTTGGCTACAGGCCATTCAGTTAGTTGAACTGTATACATCAAAATCCCATTAAAATGAGTCAGCTCAGTAGCTGCACCCCACACAAATGTCTATTCATCCTCTGGAGCACAGCACCTGCAGTTGTATTGCACTGCTGCACTGATATTGAGACAATCAGTTTGATCCTGTCTCCTGTTTTCTTTTTCTTTTCTCTCTTGGTCTCTGTTGCTTTCTCTGTCTGTTTCAGTTCCCTACTCTCACACATCTGAAGACAGCAGGGTTTTTGATTGATGGGGGTTTCTCAGGGTGTGTGCTTTTACAGAAAAATTTCAGTCCTGTTTCAAATTCCAGCTCTCTTTCTCCCGACACCCATGACGCACGTAGGTTTCAGTCACAGCCAATTTAATCTCATAAACCACTATAGGTAATGACAGAAAAAAGTTGCGTAATATTGTTTCGTGTTTATATCTGACCATGTGAGATAATTTATCTTCCACCTTTCTGTTGTTGTGTCTTTGGATTCCTTTCTACTTTCGGACATATGATTTCAATGAACCCTGGACAACAGATTTGAGCTCTATGGACACATAATGTACAACAGCAGGCCTCTGTTCTGTCTTTTCAGGCTGTGCCACTGCCACAAATTTTAGAGGAAAACTATAAAACCCAAATTTTTACCAAAAAAAGAAAAGAGAGCGAGCCATGGTTGTGCAGGTCATAAAAACAACAATGATTTCATCGGTAATGATCTAATAACAACTCTAAGAGTACAGCCATGAATGCTAGCGACTCTGTGAGGCTGTACTGTGGCACAGTGGTGCTTTGAGCTGAATGTTAATAACAGCATAAAATGTTTACCATGTTCACCATCTTAGTTTGGGATCTTAGCATGTTAATATTTGCTTATTAGCACCAAACACAACACCAAGTAGGCTACAGCTGGTGGAAATGTTATTTTTCAGGTATTTTGTAGAAACAAATTGACCTGATGGTGGCAATAGATGAAAAGTAAAGGATCATGAACTGATTACAGTTCATCCTTAAGGCGGCATTAATGTCTTTATCAAGCTTCATGGCATATATATATATATCTATGCAATAGTTCAAGTCAAGATACTTCATTTAAAACCACAAATGTAAACCTCATGATGGTGCTAGAGGAAAGGTAACCAAAGTTGTTAGGATTCATGCTCTCTCTGGTGTCACTAGGGGAAAACGGTAGTATTTATCCTCTGGGGAACATGCGTGTCTGTTCAAATCTCCATGACAAACCATAGTTGTTGAGATGTTTCAGTCTGAAAAAATATTGCCATCCCAGGATCCATGCCTCTAGTGTGGCTAAAAATATTTCATTTTTACTCTGATGCCAGATGTTAAGCACTGTGACACTTTGTACTCTGTCTTTCCTTTGCATATTTGTTGTGTTTACCTATGTGTGTGTGGTGTGTATGATTGATAAAGTGATAGAAGTTACTTTAATTTCTTAGAGGCATATAAGACTCCTGTGCTGTGCAAACAGTATTTCATGCTAACAATAACATTTTTATAGTGGACTTTATGTGACCTAACATGTTATTTAAAAAACACTGCTTGTGAAATTTAGTAACAACTATTTTTAAATTTAAATTACATTTTAATTGCATTATAATATAAACAGTTTTCTATGTGTGAACTAAAGATCCATGTGGTCATCCAGGGTGTGCGGGTGGTGGTCCACAATGACTCATATTATAATTTTGGCTTTGGCATCTCGACAGCCTGTAGTGAAATAAATGCAGATTTCTGATCCTGAGTGATACCATACTGTAAACTGAAACTGTTCCCCATTGCTAACATTAATACATTTGAGACCGAAAATAAGAGAAAGGGGGAGAGATTTCCTAACAGCATGATTTTACAATGTGTTTATGTAAGACGTGACTCAACTCTGTTACAATTATATGAGCCACTGGAGCAGGCCAGAATATGTCCTTTCCTCCAGAGCCTTTTTTTTTTTTTTACATAAATAGATTGTTCTTGATTCAATCAAATAGTAGATTTCATAACTTGTGTGGTTTGTCTTATTTGATTTGAAACACATTCTCCTTTGGATATGTAATTATTTTACTTCAAACTGTGTTATAAATAAAACTAAAGCTGGTACACAGCTCAGTGCCTGTTTGGATCCATAGCTGTCACTGCTAAGAACTAAAGGTATGTGTTTAATCCAAAATACTACACATGTGAAACAAAATGAGGTGTTTCATCTGTTTGGCGGTACTTCTAGGAATTAGACAAAATGTTTACTGAATGGGAGAAAGCAGACCTGACAGACCTCAGACTGTGCCGGGGAATTTAATATAATGTAAATATTGTGTCATGTCGGCAAAAGCTTCAAAGTTCTTTTGGTGAAACCCTGCTGTCCTCGTCAAACATCTAGCCTGAAGTGCAGACAGCTACTGCCCCCCTAGACCAAAAAGTGGTAAAGCAAAACCAAATTAGACTGTGCTGTTCTTTGAGTCTCTCTCTCTCTCTCTCTCTCTCTCTCCATGTGGCAATTTGCACATCAGTAAGACAGTGGATCAATGTGAGTTTTGTCTGTTCACATGGGAACAGAACATTGGCTTCTACTCACCAAAGGAGAGGTTAAAATTTAATTAGCAACCCTGTAAGACAATCAATCCAAATACATCCTGACACATACTCACACACAGGCTTTACACGCTTACAGACAGTGTCTTTTCCGCCCCCATTTGATAAGTGATGAACACTTCAGAGGGAGTCTTCTAGCTCCACTCAGGCAGCATTTTTTTTAAACACTTAAGACACAGACAGAGCAAGGATGCTTTTATTTTGCATCACACTGATGAAAAATATAGTAAAACCAAACAAAACAACCTTGGACACCACTGACATTTGCTCCTAGGCTGCTTATATTGCTCTTGTGCACCTGTGCTCTGCGTCTCCAGTAACAGGAGGAAAGGATTACGGGCTGAGTAAGGATGACACATATCGCTCCAGGAAACCCACAGCATCACCAGACCAGTCCCATGATGCTCCCTCAGTCTACATGTCATGCCCATTCTGACAACCGATAAGACAAGAGAATGAAAGAGTGCCAAGTGGCATATCTGTAACTGCCTATATATGTGTGTATATATATATATATGCCACAATTGTTCAGTGGTGGAAGAAGCTGCCAGATACTCAGATCACTACCATATTATAGAAATATTACAAGTAAATGTCTACTGTAAGAATTCTGCTTAAGCATAGAAGGAGAGGAAAATGTACTGAGTGTATCAAAAGTACACGTTCAAGCAACTTTTAACTCAGTGATTAGTGTGCAGGTACTTTCCATCTCTGCAATTTAACACCAGATCTTCAGTATCAGGTTCCCAGACCTGACCCTTTTTTTCAGTACGTGGCTGCTAAGAAGACTTGGAGGTATCTTAATAAAGAGGCTTCAACTGGAAGAGTCACTATTCCCTCATGATATCAAAAACTCCTGGAGGTCCTCCCCTTGTGGTCAACGTCAAATCCACGACACTTCAGAGAACGTATAAATGAATCCCTGAAACACACACTGCATCACACTTACTACACGGCGCAGAAGAATTTTTCTCACTGGTGAGTAAAAATAATATTGTATACCGTTTGAACTTTTAAAAAAGGTCCACAGGTCAATTAGATTTTGTAAATTGGTTTTGGTTTTCAAAGTTCGCTTCTAATCAAAGAATTTCAATCAATACATGTCCTTAAAACAGAAGCAGGACTGCCTAATTATTATTTTTTTTAGTTGGGCATTTTCATTTAAATTAGTTTCATATTATTTACGGAGATAAACACAAATGGAGTTAACCACTTCTCCAAGCTGGTATTCATGTTAAAACAATACTCTAATCTGCTACTGAATATAATTATACAATGCATGAATATCAGCTTGGAGAAGTGGTTGACTCCATTTTGCAAATAACTGTGGATAAAACAATGTGGATGATTTGAGTTTAAGGGGGTTTCCCCCTAACCTCACGTCCCTTGCAACGTCAAATCATGATATGTGATTTTAAGGCTCTAACTGATGAAGATCTTTATGCATTGTATAATTATATTCAATAGCAGATTAGAGTATTTAGTGTGTATTCGGTCGTAAAAGTGATTTACATTTTAAATCTTTACTAAGAACATACTTATCTTTAGTAAGGACACATTTTACATAAGCTGTGAAGATAGCAATAACTGAATTCATTCTTATTGTTTAAACTGAAACAGCTGAAGGATTAAAAAAGTAAATAAACACAATACCAAACAGAAAAGCAAATATTTATTTTCTAAAAACAGTTTTATGTTTTACTGTGATTAATTGTTTTTGATCACAAATGGTAACACAGATGTTACAAATTTGTTACAAATACCGTAGTTTCCAACTTTCAATGACACATGCTTCTAAATTTTAGTAAAACATACAAAATATCTAGTTGATCTTAGCTTTGAAACTTTAAACGAATACATGTGAAGCAGTTATTATACTGTAGGGTATTCAGCACCTAATTACATGCTCCAAAATACTGTTTAATAATCTGTTTTGTTTATTTCGTTTTCAGTAGATATGCCTGAAGAAAAACACAATTGATTAAGTCTTCCATCCCCGGGGACGAGCATCTTGGCAAAGATCTTCACTCCTCCGTCAGTGTGATTAGTCCCACAGGAGTGTGTGTGGCCTGAGGTAGAGCCAGCAGCAGAGGGAGGTGAGAAACACCATTCACTGAGGGAGCAAGGAGAAGAAAGGTCCATGTTAAACCAGAATAGGCCCCTTGATGGCTGTACAAGGAACAATCACAGCCTCTGGCTCCAGTGGTCCATTCAGTGGAGGGAGCTCAGGTGTACTGCATGTGAAGACTCTCACTATCTCAAAGAGCTCGAGCAATATCAGCCTGACTCAGAGCCGCTGTAAATAGTCCCGGAGCCCAGAACAAAATCTGACATTTAGAGCCTGTATTGGACAAACTTCCATTTGTGGTCCTCATGCAGGGGCCAAATACAGAGACACAGAGCTCAAGGCCCAGGACACCTATAATGGTTTGTTTCATGTCTGACTCCAGTTATTGTTCCATCAGTCCAGCCATTATTGCATTTATTTTCCAAGTTATCGTCCTTCTCTGTTGAGAAATTAGCTTTAGTAATAGCTAAATGTCAGAATCAGGCTTTTAAGAGCTCCAGGAAATTACCAAATTCCCACTGCCCTTGCTAACAATAGTCTTAAGAAATTGTCTACGTGCAGAATATGAACCTTGCCATTTTAATTTGGAAATGGCTGCCCTTTTATTTTGCTGTGAAAGGGTGGTGCTTTTAGTATGAGTCCCTTAAGTGAGTTTGATGTCCCTGCATACAGGGAGTTACGGTTCCCAGAGGAAGGTCCACTCAGACACAATAACAAGATAACAGCCTGAGGAGAAGCCCTAACGGTGTTTGTAACATGTTTTTGCTCTCCGAGAACTGTCTCGCTTTACTCTGCAGCTAGTTTAAACTCTAGTGAGACTCTAAACTTCTCAGCAGATTAGAAAGAAGGAATCTAATGAACAACAGTGTCTTTGACATGACACAGAGCTGGAAAACATGATTAAATATAAATTCCCATGATAAACACCTGACTTTAATGGGAATATATCATTAATGTATTATTGTGGTTGAGTGTGAGTGAGTGAGTGAGTGAGTGAGTGCTGCCTAGAAGATGGTAAATATGTTGAACCCTGATCACCACTATTCTTATTCTTTTCCCATCAGACTCCTGGTTTTGCAGTTGCAGAATCATGGAGAGATATTTATCCTTACAACTCAAATCGACCTCTCTCCCGGCTAATCCCCGTCTCAACACCACCGCTGACATCAATGCCACAGTGAAACCCTTCAGTGTGTTTGATGGCTGCGATCATCAGGTAGAGGGCATTCTCTTTGACCTGACCCTGCAGTGCATCAATGTAGTGGTGGGAATCCCTGCCAACTTTCTTGTCATTGCAATCCTCATCAGCAATCGCAAAGAGCCCTCCACTTCAGACATATTCTTAGGCTGCCTGGCCTTCATGGACATCTACTTTAGTGCTATGACCCCTATCAGCTTCCTTAACCTTTACCACTGGCAAAGCAAGGAAGTGTGGTCTGCTCTTAAGTTCTCCTATGGTGTGAAAGATACCAGTGGCCCTTTGTTTCTCACCTGTATCTGCCTAGATCGCTTTATAGCTGTGCTCTTTCCAGTTATGTTTGGGCAGCTTAAACACATCAAGTACAGGGTGAGCCTCTCAGTGCTGGTGTTCTGCCTCACCTTTGCCTACTCAGCAGCCAAGGTTGTGGGTGGCCTCCCCAACTTTGAGAAGGTCTTCACTGGTGAGATCCTGGCAGCATTTACCTGGATGGTTTTGTGTAATGTTTGCATCCTGGGGGCCCTGAAGAAGTCCCGGAGTGCAGGGAAAGATGAGATGCACCCAATGAAGAAGAGGGCCTTCAAGATGGTGCTCTATATCCTTTGTATAATTGTGTATAACTACCTGCCACCTGTAGCGCTGTTTCCTTTTCAAGACTACTACTCTCCTAATGTATTTCGCTGCTACGTGCAGCCTGTGGGCTTCGCTTTCCTCAACATCAGCAGCACCACCCAGCCACTTGTGTCTCTGTCTCGTCTGGAGAAAGTGTCATGCCTTGCAGACACCTTTGTTAAGAAGTTCTGCGTCTGTGTCTCTGCAGAGAATAACAAAACCCCACCTGCTCAAAACCCACCTGCTCAAAACCCACCTGCTCCGGTTTGAGAAGATCTAATCCACATATTGACCCTCATGGATTCTCACTTTAACAGGGGAAAGCTTATCTTTAATTCCATTATTTTCCAAATGCATGTTTTAATTGAATAGATTCTTATTCTTAAAGCAATCCTAAAAAAAGTATACATTGTTTGTAAAAAATTTGTATATGCAACAATAATGAATCAACGAGTGGAAAGCCAACATTTTAATCATTTTAGTCTTAATCAATGGATTATGTTCTGTAACAATAATTGCTACAAACAGCAGAGATATTGTTGCACTCAAAATAGTTTTCACTGTACTGAAATCCTTCAAAATATTTGTTTGACTTTGGCGCCATCATGTGTACAAAAGAGTCAATAAACTGCACCTTACAGTCTCCAGTGAATTTTTACTTCTTTTTAACCACTTTAATTTAGGCAATCGTGTGTGTGCGTGCATGTGTCATCATAATATGATTATTATTAATAGAATAATCATAAAATACCTGCACAGCAATATCATTCATTCTGATGTAAGTCATAGAAAATTCAAAAGGATAAAAAATTAAGACAGAGCTTGCTGCACTCACCAAAACCCATGGACAAACCTTAAACATCTTTATATTTATTTAAACATTTTCATTAAATGCAACTGAGCTCTCTCCTCTTCCACCACAGAGAGTAATGTATATCTAGTCACTTATATGAGCAATTTAGGAATCATCTCTGATTTGTATGCAAACTTCATAACTCAACAGCTTGTTTTGAAAGTAAGAACATTCTATAATGAAGCATTTCGGGTATGTATGAAAGAAAAAAATGATTGGATGAGCCCCACTTGCCACTTACACTACACAGAATAGTTATCGTATACAGTAGTAATCATTAACGGTTTATTCAGGGATGTGACTATCTGAACATGCTGTTAAAGGAGTAGTTCTACAATAGGCTAGAGTAAATCACATAGCATATAACACCATACATCCTCATAACCTTGATAAGAAGATTTATTCCACTCTCATGTTTGTCTGATAAATAGTCTATGTGGTAGGAGCCAGCAGCCAGTTAGCTTAGCCTTAGCAGCCTGGCTCTGTCTCAAGGTTTAAAGGTATAAATCTTCTTATTTAACTCTCAAAAATGAATGTAACGTGTTTTTGAAGCTGCAAAATGACTTGGATAAAGAATACTTGCCCTCTGTAGGAGAAATTACAATTACAGATTACTGGTCAACCTACAAATACCAACTTTTATCCACTTATTGACGCAACATTGTGATAAGCACCTTCTCCGGCATTATTCTCAATGGATGACTGCTCTGTGTATAAAAATATGGGAGTAAAGTTTCCGTGAATGTGTGTGTAAATGCATAAATGAGTGTATCATCAGCAGGGTCAAAAAAGGACACCATCCCTTTGTTGTAATCCAGTTGCACTTTGACTTGTTTGGACGCTCTTTCAACTGTCAGTGGGGTGGGTGGCGAGGTCATTGCCCTGAACTCTCCGTCCCGGAAACACAAAGTCCAGAAGCCATTCTCTGGCCGAGCAGAGATCTCAGCGTCCCTACTTACAGACAAATAGGCCACACCTAGGAGCCAGTCCTGATTACTTCCTGTTTCCACGACCCAGTGGTGACTTCCGGAGCCCAGTGCTGTCATCCCTACCACTTCAGCGCTGATGTGGAAGCGCTCCGGGTTGTCAGGGCAACAGCTGGGCTGCTTTGAATAGTGGAGGGAAGTGAGGTCATCAGACAGGATGAGGCAGGGGTGTGCTGTGTTTGGGTCCAAAGTCACTGGAGCTAAAAGACAGGAAATTAGTTGGGCAGAAAGAGTGATGTTAAACAGGATTCGGGTTGTACAATTCTAATCTTTCAACCTCTGAACCTGAAGAAAATAACAAAAATGTGTACTCACTATAGTCAATGTGGTCCAGCATTTTCTCCCAGACTCTATACTTGAGGTTGCTGAGATGCTTGGTCACATCAATCAGTAGCCCAGACATGTTGTCTGAACCAAACGCGATGCTTTTTCCTCTGTGATAAGAGACATTTTGAGAATATGTCAACGTGTGAAAGCAAGAAAGAGTGTAAATCCATCCAACTTTGTTGACTTACCTGTCCTGAGTAGCTTTAAAATTCTGGAATATAAAAAAAATCACTGTCAAGGTGGGAAGTTTTGGTGTATAGATTAAAAAGTTGATGTATACTGAACTGTACAGACCTTCAGCAAGACCATATCATCTTCTTTGAGCTGCTCCTGTATGACAGATATGGTCTCTGTGAGGGACAGCACTTCTGCTGAAAGTTCTTTAACCTTATCCTTCATTCCCGCGAGCTTCTCGTTTTCTTCTTTTTTCACACTTGCAATCATGGCTGACTCTTCTCGGTCAAGGATTTGATGGAGCTGCTCGAACTGGCTCTTGATCAATCTCTGTGTGTCCAGCGCCTGACTCTGAGGGAGATTATTGCAAATTGTGGCTTGATTTTACCAGATACTTTTATTTAAAAACCAAATATCTGTCCTCTCATCAGTTTACCTTGATGTATTTGACCATGTCCACAGACATTATGTTAATTCTTTTGAGGGTGTCCAGTTTATCTTGCAAGCTCTTGAGGGATAAACAAAGTTCATCCTGAAAATAAAGCAGACCGGAGTCAGCAGAGATCAGATAGCTTAATAGAAAGACATTGACACTGAATATTTTAGGCCTGGATTCATTACTGAAATGTAACAGTGTGGGTTACAGTCAGGGCAGACTAGTAGGACAGCATTCTACCTTTAGGTGTTAGCTTAAATACCTACGGCTAACAAAAATAGCAGAGTCAGTTTAGCAGGTTGCTGTAACAGTGTAGTTGGGAAACATGTTTATTTCCCCTTACCTTGCAGTCCAGCAATGCCTCTTCGATAGGCGAGCAGTCATGAGTCTTGTGCAGTTTGGAAGACTGGCACACCACACAGATGGGCTGCTTGTCAACCAGACAGAAGAGTTTGAACTTTTCCCCGTGCAGATTACAGTTGATGTTCTCTTCCTCCAGCAGTGAACTCTGTCTCCTGACCTGCAAAACAGCTTCACAGACATTTTTCAGAGCCAAATTGGAGGGAGCGCTGGACTTGGAGGCTCTTTTCCTACATACTGGACATTCATGTAACCCTGTGTCCCAGCAGCGCTTCAGGCAGCTCCGACAGAAGCTGTGGCTACATGACAGCAAGACAGGGTCTCTAAAGATGTCACAGCATATTGGGCATGTAAGATCCTCCTCTGGGAGAGACATGACAAGCAGTGTGTCATGTACAATATTGTAAATCCAGAGTTCAAAACAGCTGTCCTCAGGTTGAAGTCCTTAATGATTCCTCCGGCAACTAAACAACATAATTTAACGTGTCTTGTTAAACTCACTTCAGAGCACACCAACTGCCTCTGTATTGTTCTTGACATGAAGCAACAAATGTTCTTGTTTTTCCTGTGCACCACTGTGGGAGTAACTTAAATCATGCAGCAGTGTGAAAAAACCCTGTACGTAGCAGTGCTGGGAAACAGGAAATAAAGCCCCATTGGCCAGTCATTACATGCCTTAAACTGGTTGGTAACTTGCTGCATGTTTAGAATGTCATCATTCAGGATATGGGTGTGATTGTTTCAGTGTTGACATCCAGCTGAACACACGCAAACTTTTTAAGTTTAAGTTTTAATTCATGGTGTAAGTCGCTTAGCTATTGTCCACTGGGGGGTGGTCAGGTTAAAACACTATACTGCAACTCATTTCATGCATCAGTGAATTTGGTGACTTGTTGTGTTCACAGTGTGTTTTATATCCTTTAACCAGTAGGTTTTGACCCAAAGTGGCTAAACCAGCTCCAAACAGTCAGAAAGATTTTTAACATCAAACAGGATATTAACTAACCAACAAGTGATCAAATAAAACTTGTGTTAATTTACTGTATATGACGATATGTATGTGTTTTACAGAATTGGTGTTTGTCTTAATTTACATAATAACACACATTTATGCTGCAGGTCAATATTGCCCCACATATTAGGGAGCAGAGAAAACATGTTTTTTTTTTTTTCTTGTTTGAAAGGCAGAATGTGAACTAGGTGGCAGCTGAAAATAGATTAAACAACACAGTGAAAATCTAATATGAAAACCTATTTTGGTAAGTCTGAAGAAGCAACACATTTACACATGTGGGTAGGTTGTTATTCCAAGTGACAGGTTTTAAGAATAATCTACTTTTAGAAGTGTCCTTGATTCTGGATGTAAAAAGCCAACTATTATTTCAGGATCCACATATTGGCTTTGTTGAACAGATTGTTGTGATTACTCATGATAAAAGGAGTTTAACTTTAAAATATCACCTTCAGTTAAATTTTGGAACATATTTTTGCACAGAACAAGGACTGTGGATTTTGTGTCCCATCATTTGCACTGGGAGCACATTAGGAACGGATCTTTTAATGGCCAGTATGAACAAGAAGAATGATTACAGCAAGAAAAACCTGTTAGACTTGACCAACTGTAGACAGAGACAGACTTGAACAACTGTAAACCTATTTAATGTAGTTGTTATTAATAACAACTACAGCCCATCTGTTATAAGATGATGGACTTGAGTTATTTATTATTACAGTTATTTATGAAATGACATTTATGACTGATGTGTATCTGCCCATCCCTCTAACTTGTTTTCTGTTGTTTGGTTTTCTCTCATGTAACCATACGTATATTTCAGTGTTTTTCTCTGTATCCTTTTTAGATTATGAAAAATAAATGGGCTGCATATAATTTAAAGCATTTTAAAGGAAGTAAAGCATTAACATCTTGACCCCATATGTCTGCACAGCCTAGGTATTTTCTCAATCTTTTTGTCCTGTTTGAACGTGCAGATCTCGAGAGTCCTTAATACTTTGGGATAGTATCAAGTTGATACTTGTCAGACTGTCGACCTCAAACACTCCAGTTGATACATTTTAAGCCAATGCCCTTGTCCTTTAAAGTTGTTACTGTTGAAACTGTCCTTGATGCTAAAGTGTGTAGCTAAAATGAGGCCTCAATCATGTATTGTGATACTTAGGTGTGCGTGTGTGTGTGTGTGTGCGTGTGTGTAGGTGGAGTTGAGGGTGTGTGGGCGCACTCAGTCCTTGAGAATAATGAGAGCCGTATTGATGGCTGATGCAGCTCCTCGCATCCTATCCGCTATTTCCACGGCTCTTGGTTCCTCCCTCTCTCCTCCGGTCTTTGGTTGTTTCCATGGCTTAGACGTAAAAGGTTGTTCGACACCGATCCAGGCCCAGTAGACGGTCTTTAGAGGCGGCGCAACAAATCCCGGACACTCGCCTGCAGAAACCATCATCCTGTTAAGTCTCTGCTGGCTCTCGTACCGACCGTCCTGCGTACCCCAGCAAAAATGCGCCGAAATTGTGCATTTGGCAGGGGCCGGTCAAGTGGCGGAAACCCAGATCGCGAGCCAAGGTATTCCTCGACATTTTCCTTTCTCTGCTCGGTTTTGTAATGTCTGATGAGACTCTTTTTTGCAGGTTTTCGGGCGCAGGGGATAAAGTGGACGCAGAAAAGTTGGTGGTGTGTCGCCCCCCCCGGGTGTGGGTCTGCGTGGCTGTGTGGCTGTGTGTGGGCGGGGGGGGGGGGCTCTAATCCT